CTTCTAATGCATTACAAAAGTGTGATTGAGTATTGTAATCACATTCTTTCTGGTGTTTCTCATATATACTTTTGAATTTATCGCAATATTCTTCATCATTTTTAGTACCAGCTTCGTCAGTATTTGGATTTAGGCTATATATATCCTTTAACCTTTCAAACTCATCTTTTGTAATATTAATTTTTTTATAATCTGTATGTATTGGATCCCCAGTTGATTCATATTTTTCTATGAATTTATTAAATATATTCTTTATTTCTGTGCTATTACATTCTGTCTTACAATTATCATATAACCAGTAATACAAGTATATGCAACCTGCATGATTTTTAGTAGGATATTTCCCTTGTATATCATTTAAATAGTACATAGATTTGTAGCATATTTCCTTATCATTAAATTTATCAAGATGTGAAAAAATTTCATCAGATTTATTGCATTCAGATTGATACGTGTTCTTATTTTCTTCCTTATATCCGTCTATAATTTTTTTCCAAGAAGAAAATTTATTAACCAATACATACTGAAGAAAAAAAAATAATTATATTTAAAAATGGTGTTATTTTGAGCGACCTTGTAAAAATTTTATGGAATGTAGATACTCTACTATATTGTAATTTATATTTTTATAGTTTAAATGTACAATATTTGTGCCCATAAGTGCTTGTGTTATGCTTATATCTAAATAAAATTATTATGCTCATGAGTAAATATATATAAAATTGTTAATATTAGGTCACATAATTGTATGAAAGTATGTACCCTAAATTTTTTTATTAAAATATTGATTTGTTAATGCCATTATCTCATAATATGATTAATTATTTTGCATCCTAAAATAGATATTAAGGAACTTTAGACAAGTAATGTATTTTATTAGATAATTTATCTCAAGAGAGGAAAAGATAGATACGTATCATTGAAATAACAAAATATTATTTATTAAAATATAATATTAATATTTTTTTAAGTATAATAGTTATATATTATTAATAATATACTGAATAAGAAAAAGATATGAGTAAATATAATACGTTCTGTTGATTAGAATATATGTATAAAACATTTTTTTTAAGTATCTATTGTTTTTATTACAATAATATATATAATCTAATTTTACGAATATAAATACTTTGAATAAATTGGATGATGTTCAAAGATTTTGTAATTTCAATAATAATATATTTAAATGAATAGAAAAATATTAAATTAAATTTTCTTAATTTGCATTATTTACATTTAAATCATGAATAAAATGAATGAACATTTTATTATAACAATCATTGTGGGAGGAAGGAGCAATGTAACATAATGTTATAAATTATATATAAATTTTTCAGCTTTTAGGGTTCAGAATATAGTGTATAGTGTATTAGTTCTTACTTTTTAGTTATATTTACATTATATGTTTGTCTACATTAATAGATTTTATTTTTGCTATTCATATTTATTTATGTATACATGATATTTTATATTACTTTTTTTACATTACATTTTTGTATAAAGAAATTAAGAATTCATTTCATTATTATATATATATTATTTTTGTATTTATTAGTAAATCTCGATTTTATTTGTTTTTTTTTTATATCAGAATTTTTGAAATTAAAAATAATAATTATTTATATATTTTATAATATTGAGTAATTCAGTAAAAAGATTAATATATTGTGCAAGTATATATCTATTTTTTTGATTGCAATAGGTATCATTGTAATATATGTAAATATTTGTAATAAAGAATATTATGTTCACACTGTGTTTCTATAAATTATATATATTTTTTGGGATGAAATAGCACTTATATTTTGTAACATTAAAAATTCTTTAGAATAATGAAATTTTTTTATACATGCCAGAAATAACACATTCTTAATATGAAAATGAAGAAATAATGAAATATTTCAAAAAAAAAATCTTTGTTTCATTTTTATTTAGAAGATTTTCTCTTAAATAGTATATCTTACCAATATGTTCTCATGAAATGTAACCTATGTAATACGTATTTTTTATGTATAATGATCAATATAAAAACACATCTCTACTTATACTATGAATTATAGTAGTGCTTTATATATTTTGATCTTATTTAAGTAATTATTTTTTTTGGAATTTATTTAATAATTCTCAATAAGGGGGTTCATAATTAATTAAAAATTTTAGTTCTTTTTAAATTCATAAATTCTGTGTAATATTAAAAGTACTTTATATATAAAAGGTATAAATATCGATTGTAGAAAAGTATGAAACTAGATATATTTTTAATTTTTCAAAGGACATGTAATTATATTTTCAATATTTACGTGATAAAATAGGAAATATTTGGCTTCAAGATTATATGTATATTCTTTTTACATTAA